CAAAAGTTGATTAAAGATAATCTCTTTGTTCTGTTTGCATTGAAACAATAAATTTTTACAATATTTTTATGCGCATTTTTTTTTTTCCGTTGGCATGCATCACGAAAATATTTTTCGATTCTCTACCTTTTACAATGGTAAAATCAGAAATTTAATATAACTGGCTGAATGTCAAGCGTAAAATAGATTTATACGTTTACATTCACATTAAAACGGTCCTTGGGTAATTTTTTGATCCAAGTATATTTTTTTACTACTGAAATATCTATTAAGTCTGATATAAATATGAAAAAATCAATTATTAGAATTATCGATATATTAATATTACAAGAAAAGATTTTATATAAATCGCTGACTTTTTGATTACATTGGTTTAATATATTGATAAATAATATTTAAAATATTGAAGATAATGATATTGATTTTGATAAATAGTTAATAATTCACAAAATATTTAACGTTAAATTATATATATATATATATGTATATGCTTATTTCCTAAACTTATTGATAAAGAGAAGTTATGTGACAGAGAAGTATATAATATAATAATCATTTTTTTGTTCTGTATTTTTTTTATCAAGATATGAAGATTACTTGACTTTTTTTTTAATTCAATCATGTATTTTTTACCGCATTAAATAATTCAAATCGATAATCTTTATAAAAAGTAATAATTTATTTATGTTAAAAAGTCATATTGTAAGAGTTAGTTAAGAAAATATTTTGATTTTTTAATTAAAAATTATTGATTTGATATTATGATTATGTTTATAATATTTTTAATTATTTTATATAACGCAAATTTAAATATTTTTTTTTAATTTCATTTAATTGCTATTTATATAGGAAATACAAGAAAAGAAGTAATAATTATTATAGTAATCATCCAATTATTATATAATTATTTCTTGTTGTTTTAAATATAAAAACTCATATACTATATAAATAAAAGCTCTGTTTTCACAATTGTAACATTTTGCATTTAATTCTTTTGGAAGGATTGTCTCGTTTACATTAATAAATAGATTTTTTAATAATCGTATCAAGCATGGAATACATATATAGCATACATAAGCATACATAATAAGAATGGACATGTTAATTTTATTATAAAAATATTTACATTATAAATATTTGCATTGTAAAATGTCTCATGGATGATAGTGGAAAAGGTTTTATATAAAAAAAATAATTAAAAATAAAACCTAAAGCTTCGTTTTCGAGTAAATTAACTTCATCAAATTTTCAAGCATTAGCGAAATTAGTTATATGCCAATTATACGAAAAGAGTTATCAATAGGGAAATAATATGTGAAAATAAACAAAAAATATAAAATAAATTTCTTTCATATAAAAATTAGTTTTCGAGAAAATTCGAATTTGAACATTTTTAATATATGAATTATACGATTCCTTGATATATTATATAGATTCAATCTCGATTTTTATAAAAATTTGTAGAATAACCATATATTGATTCAATCAAGAATTACTTAATTTCATTTGTACCTTAAAAAAGAATTTTCAAAAATTTGATTGACTCGAAAATGAAAAAATTTAAATGAAAAAATCTTATTTTATATTTTTAATTATTTTCTCATATAAAATCATCTTTTTTATGGTTGTACTATCATCACATTATATATGTATATAAATAGAGATAAATACAACTACATTTAAGGTGTTATCATGCAAAATTAGATGTCAATATTATCATTTTTCAACTTTTAAATCGTTTTTTAATATAAATAAATTAATATTTATTTTTTTTTATAAAAAATGCAGATCTATATTGATTAATACATTAAAAAATATAATTTAATCAAAATTTAAACTGATTTCCATATCTTGATAAAAATATCCAGCAATAAAAAAACGATTATTGTATCATATATTATCTTTGATATCACACAACTTTTTAAATATTTTTTTTTCATTTTCATTAGTATAATCAGTTTTAGTGTTTCAAACATCTGTAATATATAAAATCATAAAATCAAAAAATTAATTTACGATTAACGATTTTTCTTTATTAATTTTATTATTTTTAAAATCTCTTTGTTTTTTTTTTAAAAAGAGATTAAAAACAAGATTTAAAGAAGTAGCAAAAAAGAATATAGAGTTAATATTGGATAAAAAGGCGAACGAAAACGACTAATCAAAAATCAAAAAATTTATAACGAAACGGGAATAGATTCATTATTGACAATTTTTTTTTTTATTTAGTTACTACATATAATATAGCTAATATATATAATATAGTTAAAAAAATGCAAATGTCAATAAAAACAAGCGATTTATTTTGGACTGTTTTGAGCAATAAAGATACAGGTCATTGTACACTGTTTTGTGTAATAAAAATGCTCTTAGTCCTCTTTTGGATCTAACAAAGAATTAATTTTTTATTAAAACAATAACAAATTATATCGATATAATAGATTAATAATATTGTTATAATAAATTAATAAATTGCACGTTTTATTGTTTATTGTTAAAAAGTAACTATTTCTTGAAGATAATTTCAAATTTAAAGAATCATCAGAAATTGAAATAAAGATATATTAATTTAATAATTATTATATATTTATTATAAATTATGTATTATAATTCAATAATTATTAATTATTGTACGAAAATATATTTTTTTTTTCAATTTTATTTTATTTCTTTTTTAATATCAAATCAAAATAATTATTTTATGAACGGTTTTTTTTAATTTTGTTAAAAATTTTACAAATAGATCTTCATAACCCGTTCAATTATAAATTATAATAAGATACTTTATGCTATCTCAATTAACACTGATTCTATGTAACACAATTTTTTTTCGAATCGAAAATAAGTTTTAAATTCCATAACTCGTTATAACGTAGTTTTTATCATCGAAAATCGATTATACCTTTCTTTCTTTGTACATAAGTTTTATAAGTTAAAATAAAAATAACTTAAAATTAAAAATAAAACTTTAATAATACAACTACTTTTTTAGTCGCATATTTCTTTACTCTCATTTATATACTATATGTTAAGATAACTTCATTTAGCATAGTTTCGTTCAACGTTTTAACGATATATCTTGAACGTGAATCGCGCACATAATATGTATGTCGCATAAAGATAAACACATTTAATAAAAAGGGATTTATTTTGGAAAGATCCTTATTGAGAGGGAAAGAGAGAAAGAAGAGGGAAGGAAACTAAAGGTCGATTAACTTTATGATTCGAGGATAATTTGTTTCCCGATTATATTGACATAAAATTGTTTATTATATTGTCTTGATCAGAAGACAAGAGCGTTGCGTCGTATTCCCCGTTATGTCTGGCAGCAATTCGGTAGAGCGCTCTAGTGTGTGTACTCGGTGAACCACGACCAATTAGCCGGAAGCACATTCAAACCATTAGCTCGAAATGAATTCGCGTTTAGAATTTGCTTCAGCGTAGAAGGTCGATCGGTAAACTGATCGGTAAATTCGATTTCCAGAACGCTCGACTCTAGATTATTAAACATATCGATCGAGCAAGCTCGACCATCACTTTTCTTCTAATGATTTGATTCGTTTTTTCTCGTTACTGATTCTATAAAATCTATCTATTTTACCGACGCGATGTTTCAATCGGTAATGATTACTTTCCAAAATTGCGATAGGTTTTAACCGCTCGCCTAATTCTCGGATGGGATGCAATTTAGTTTTGCGCTTGTAATTGAATTTGAATTTGTCGTTAGAACATATAGCAAGTATCGTTAGGAAACCACGTTATATTCTCTTGGGTACGATAGAAGCGTTAGTCCGATCTGACATACATTATACTTGTCCTGTTTACTAATGTTGGCAACCGCGTAATTGCATGGACTTTCTCGTGTAACATCGCATCGATGCAATTTTCCTGTATCTCACAAGAATTCGTCTTATGCCCTAACGATCGATTATTCTTTATAATCAATGTAAACATTAATTATTCTTTTTTCGAATCTACTATTGCTGATATCATCAGTTAATATTGACATAATACTTGATTTAAAAATTCCTTCATTTGCGTGTGAAACAAATCTTTTACAATTTTTTTTAATTTTTGTTTGGTGAGGAATTGACTTACTTAATTTATAATATTGACTTACTTAAATTATTTTTCACTTTTTCCGCCAGATATTAACATTTTTTAAGTGACAAGTGAATATAATAATTTTTTGTAACATACTATGAAATCATATTTGTTTATTCTTCCGTATTATTATGAGACATTCATCGTATTTGTTTTTCAATTTATTAAAACTTTATATATTTTGGAATCGATCTTTTATTTCTTACCTAAATAAATCGTTTTATTCTATTATGTATGTTATTTATTCGGTATTAAAAAAACTCTAGTTTTATAATGTAATATAAAATATTTCCATGAATGTTTATCGTATAATAATAAGAATGTTGAAGAAATTTATCAAAAATCAAAAATCTGTCAACTAGTCAACAGAATAAATTTTTCTTATCTATAAAATCAAACTGTTGAAAATTGAAATTAAATAAAAAGATATGCATTTAATTTTTAATTATTAATTATTAAATTATCAATTCGTGTCATTAAATTTCAAAAATAATTTTTTATCAAATTCTATTTATAATATAAAATATACTCTTAAAATTTTCGAGATTTAGCTCGAGATTTAATATCTCGAATAAAAAAACTCGAAGAAAGCAGGATTCTTCTTCATTCAATTTCAAATTTCGAATTTAAAGAAGAATCGATAATGATTCGTATGATTGAAAACTCAACAATAATTTTTCAAATACATGTACAAAATGTACAAAATATCGATGGAATAACGATGAGTAAGCCAACTCGCTCAAAAGGAAAAAGTAATAAATAAAGGTAGACACGCGATCACGTTGCTTATTCGGATCCATTTATTCATACCTGATACCCCATTCGTTATCCCCTGTAAACTTTCGACGAGAAGAGAAAAATTGTAACTTGGTTTTGCGGTTATCCTTTCTTTCTAGAGATCCCGGGCAGATGGAGGAGGCATTGTCCGCACGGACAGATAATGTCTGAACCTGGATGCAACTTAGTGTCCGAAGGAACCACCGGAGAAAACGGAAATACGGTGTCTACTGGAAAATGCGTTTGTGGACCGTCGGTGCCTTGGTGTCCAAACGAACCTCGTCCTTATGATTATTCTACTCGACACGAGTGCAAGCTCAATTTGGCCGCAAAGATGAATTACGGTAAGCTCGCATATGTATTTCTCTCCTATTCTTCGAATTAGTCGACTTATTCACCGTCGTTGTTTCGGATCTTTCTGATTAGTTTTACGAGAAAATATTTCGAGCAAAGCAATAATAATAATAATATTTAATTTATGAAAAATTGCGATAACGAAAATTTGTTCCAAAGAAATATTTTATTCGATAAAAAATCGAAATTACTTTGTTCTTTTTAAGTAACCACCGTTTTTGACTTTACAAAATTATAGTTGATGTTAAGATGATAATTCAGTGATTTTCAAATAACCTTGAATTTTTGAATATATTTAAATTATTTGTATGGCTTATAATTCGAAATTGACAGAATAAATAACAATATATTTACCGTTCAAATTGAAATTAATATCAATAAATTATATTTGTGACACGTTTGAATCACAAATCTTTATTTAATTTTGTTTAAGAGAAGCCAAGATATTTCTAATTTTCGTCGAACAAAATTTTTTTTTGTGAAATTTCACAATTTTTAATAAGATAAACATTTTAATGCTTTAAAAAGTCATATATTAATATTCTCGTGAAATTAATAATAAAGTTTCTAAATTTGAGATCATTTTTTTTTATCATCATAATATAGCACTCTTGTTAAATTCTTGATATTGAACTTGATACATAACTGAATAAAATCTTTTTTTGTCATTGCATAATTTGTTGAATTGAATATTAACTTTTTATTTATTTTATTTTCTTTTAATATTAGTTTAAAAAATTTTCATTATAACGTATTCTAGAGTGAAGATACTAGAAATAATAATCCTTTAGCAAAATTTATAATAAGAAATAAAAATTGAAAAGAGTAATAATAAGAATTGAATATACAACAAATTCCTATAATATTCCCCTCTTTCTTAAAATTCTTAATCAAATTAAACTTTTTAATTTCTATACCCCCTCTTTCTCTTTTAAAACGATCGAATCGAATGCGATCATGTTGTGAATTTCATAAAACTATTGTGATTTTATTAAGTCATCGTATCGATGAATATGATCGTGAATATATTCTATTCTTCTTGTTATTAAATTGGCTATACATTATATGTTCATATATATATGATATACGAAGAACGGAGAGCGGTTGATTTTTTTTTTTTCACTTGTTTCACTTCAACGATAAAGCGTTCACGGGTGAAAGAAAATGAGAATCATTAAAGTGGATGAAGTACGTGAAAGGGGAGCAGAGTTGAAATAACGAAACTGCGGCAGTTGCCCGTTAATGAAAAGAAAACATAAATAGTAGAAGAAGAAGAAGGAACAATGGCAGCTAAGAGAAGCGAAAGGTCACGAAGGTGAGGAGGGGTAGACGCCGCGGCGGCGTTAATGAGAAAAAGACATAACTAGGGATACGTCTCGTGACGTAACTCTCACTCTCTTCGCTTCTTTCTTTTCTTCTTTCTTCCTTCCTTTCTTCCTTCCTTTCTTTCTTTCTTTCTTTCTTTCTTTCTTTCTTTCTTTCTTTCTTTCTTCTTTTCTTAAAGTCACCGAAAATAACGCCTGCGAAATTTACTCGGAGGTGAATAATGAAAAGGAATAATAACGCGAAGGAAAATCGTAGGGCTGCGTTGAATCGAGGCATGTTTACGTGGGAAAGAACCGTTGTTCGCCATTGTCCGATCTTCGCGAATACCGGCTATCGAATAAGTTTGCGGTAATTACAGTTAGAGGCTGTCGAATTATTGCGTATATAGAATCGATAGTTAACTCGTCTTTTCATTGAGCCGAACTTTCAGCAGTCTATTCTAGCGCACTTTGGCGTTGAACGTGTAACGAAGTTGTTAGCGAGTAAGTAACAAAAGTAGTTACCTGCAACGGTGCAGAAAGTTAAATTCGATTCGTCGGGTAAAGTTTAATCGTGTACGTACTTTCAAGGTGGGAATCAGAGGGATTGTTCTTTTGTGGGGTTAAGTACACGAGTAAAATTTCGATGACTAAGCTCAAGTCAAAATCCATCAAAGAAAGGAATAAAAGAAGCGAACTTTGCTTCGGTTTGTTTCTCCGTAAACACTTTTCATTTTCAGAATTATTGCAATCTATCACGTACGCATATATTTATATCCTTTTTTACAATCGTTTCTAGATGGTTATCGCGGCTTCATTTTCCAGAACCATCTGTATTCTCTTCTATTTCCTACAATATTCTGTTACATGACCGAATCTCTCTTTTTATGCTTTTCGTGTTTCCTTTTTTTTTTTTTTTTTTTTCCTTCTTTTTTTTTCCATTATTTCTACATGTGCAGGCTTGATTAATGAGTTAACATGCATCTACCGATATTCTTTGCAACGTACACAGGAAATCCTGTTCACGTTTCGAATGCAATTTTGACATTTAAATTAACTTTATTAATAACCTTAGTTTCGGCTTATATTATTAGTCTATTGCTTTAGTTTCATTTCCTGTCGTATGCCAGAATTCACTTTCCACGTTTCTCTGTGAAAATTAAGTTTCAAAGTAATCAATGTTTAACTCATTTAAACAACTGTTTAGTGAAATTTTCAATTTTCAATTTTATATATTCTGGAAATATAACAACATTAAAAATAGATAGATAATCTTTTAATAGATTTAATATCTATTAATGGTTTTTTTAGGGGTCTGTTACGAAACTATTGCAAACATTAAAAATATATCAAACATATATTAAAAATATATTTTTAAACATAAGTGAGAAAGAGTGTAATAAAATGAAAATAAATAGGAGAAGCTAAAAATTTCGAAAAATTTTGAAAAAATATAATAATTGAAAATAATGCAATTGTTTTTTTATTGACTAATTTAGCATTACATTTATTTTAAGATTCTAAGTCTTATATTTAATTGCAATATTAAATTTTTTATTAGAATTTATCATTTATTTGTGATTGATTGAAGTGGAAATATTAACTCCGACATAGAGTTAGTTCTCACTGCATTAGGTTATTATTAAAAAATATAAGTAGCTTTTTAATGAAATATTTAATTTTCTAACGAAATAAAACAATTTCATAATTTTATAATATTTATTTTTCAAGTTTCAGATCAACAGAAATATATTATTTTTAAAAGAAAATCAAAACAATATAATATCTATATAAAATATTTAAAAAAAGAGATTAAAATTATTAAAAAAAACATTTGAATAAGAATTGTTTAATTCAGAAGAATTTTGTTTCTAGGTTGAATAGTGGGATCAATTTTTAAATTAATTTTATTTTTTAAATGGAACTTATATAATTTTGAATGCACTAATCAACTTATCTGTGTATTTCCTATAAAAAATGATTGATTTCGAAAATTTTAACTTGAAGTTTATAGAAGTTTATTTTTCATATCATATAAAAAAAAAAATAAGAAGACTATGAAAAGTAGAGCAGAAATATGATGCAAATTATATATCGATATGATGTACGCATACACATATAAATATATACAATCGGTCCTTTTTATGGATATACATCAAGTAACACCAATATTAACGGTGCGACGTAGCATGTCATATCTTGGAAAAGACGTATCTTAAAGAGAGAGTGCTTTTAAAAGTTTCGATGCCAGCTATAATAAAAAAGATTTAGATTTCGGTTAAATTTAATTTGACATTCATCTTTATAGCCTTGTTAATGTTCAGCAGCATTATAAAATCAAGTAAACGATGATATTATTTTTGTCTAAATCATTTTTTTCTGTAATTCTGTTCATTTTTTCATATCTTCTGTATTGTATGAAATATTTGAACTGAGAGATTAAAACAGGAGATTAAAAGCGAATCAATCATTATAATAAGATTCACTATTATCTCCATCGTTTTATTCCGTAAAAGTTATACGGTTAAATAACACATAAATAATACACTATTTGGTATTCAGTTATACATTTTTATAAATTTGCCAATATTTATTGCATAACTTAGATCTATTTAAACTTTCATTCGCTAATTTAAGCTAAGTCAGATTTTTATAATATATAAATCGTAATTTTATGTTAATTTTCTATTTTTATTATCTAACATTTATTTTACTAAATTTTATTTTTATATAACTCAATGAAAATATGAATATTAGCAATAAAAGAAAAAAATTACATTCCTCATTTTATCTTTTCATTTCAGTTTAATTTCCACCAAGAGAATTCTTTTTAATATCATTAGAAGAATATTTCAGAGTATTCTGTATTTTCAATCATAAATGATCGAACATCGATGTATTAAACTTGTTATATGTTTCTAACGTACCTTGAGTTGTTATGTAACACTTTGAAGAGGGGCGAATATTATGTTCCGACGTTTTTCTTATCAATTCAATTACATACTTATTTTTGAATTTATGAAACGTGTATTATTATTGCCTGTAATCAATTGCATTTATAAACGGTACTTGTGTTTTTCGAAATATAAGAGAAAAAAATTAGGACGAATATTACCGTAAAAAGAAGAAAGTATCTATATACTTTCTTCCATGCACTCGAGTGAGCAATAACTTGATAATTGGGCCATTACATGAACGGTTTATTGATCGCGAAATTCAATTTAATCCCTTTCGAAGATGTGGTCAGATATGAGTTTGCCACAACTACAAACTGTACACAAAGGAATATCTCGGAATGGAATGTCATTGAGATAAAAGTAAACGTTTTTACCAAATGTCGATACAACGTTCATTTTTCTTTTTTTTTTTTTTTGTCATAATATATATGCTTAAATTAAATTTGCAAGAGGACAGATATATCGTATAGATATTATTGATTTCTTCTTTTTCTTAAAAACAAAATAATTGTTTCAAATTCATTTTAAATAAATTTAAAAAACTTTAACGCAGTAAATCGATGATTGATCAGATCGAAATGTAATTGTTTATCTGCAAATATTAATATCAAACACCATCATGGTTGTCCGAGTAAGATTAATCAGAGAATTTCGTGGTTGATACTTCCGGATAAAACTTTACGTTTATTTAGGATCGCATCGATGTTGCGCAAAATTTACTTCCCATATTAGTCTTTTGGTAATCCATTTAAGTATTTGCATGATAAATGTTCTCAGATAGATGAAATATTGAGTTGTTCAAATATGCGGGAGTAAACTCATAATCTGTAATATGTTCATATACATGTATATATACATGTATGCCTATCGTAATAACAGTGATACGTCAGAGAAGCACAAATTTTCGATATATGTACACGTATACGGGGTATCATAGGTTTTAATGCTTGAACGTTGTCGATATATTCTATAAATTTAAATAAAAAAAAAGAATAATATTATATAAATATATAAATATAAATGGTTTAAAATTTATTAAAAAATTATGATAAAAATATAAAATGCGAACAGAACTCATGGTTAATCAGATCAATAATATTTATCTTTAATCTATTCGTGCCAGCTAAAATAAAATAAAAATAAAATTTGCAAGGTAGTAAATTCTATTTTTAGTTGCTATCGATTTTTATTTCAAAAAACGAATATGTTGAATATTTTAAAATGGAAAATTAGTTACTTTTGCATAAATGAATTTCCATGTTAATTAATTAGTTTCGTAGGTTGGTGGATCATAGATATAATCAATTATATATTAAAATATGTTATTAGCAATTTATCTTGATGGCAATAAAATAATAATGTCAAAAAAATTATGTTGTTATGAATTATTTAATTATTTTCTCTTCATTCACATTTTAAAATGTAATAAAATACTAAAATTTGTTCAACTAATTAGACAAAATTATAAATTATAATATATTTATAAATTCAAACAAAGCATAAAAATTGTTTTTCTAACAAAAATAAAAATAACAATTTGAATCTTTAAAAAAAATAACAAAAAGAGTAGATTTAAAATAAAACTTATAATTAGATATAAAATTTAGACTCTAAAAAACGTATATGTAGAAAAACTTTTAAAGTCAATTAATATAAGTTAACTCTCGAACATTGATTTTGATTTCAATGCCTGATTTCATAACCTTAAATTATTTATGTATAAAATATTGTTGCAATAAGTCTGATAAACAAAATTTAATATTCATTTAACATTTTTTCTATTAAATTCATATAAAATATGAAAATATAAAATCTTCATAAGAAAAAACATTTATTTGATATATATAGTAGCCAATTTTTGATAAATATTAATAATTTTTCTATAACAATATAGCAATTTTATTAACGATTAGTCACCTGTTACTTATTAATTTATTACTTTTCAATCAACTCCTATTTAAATAGTGATCTGTTTTTACAATATATCGCACTCGTTATTATTCCTTTCGTATTTTTGTTATAATTTTTTTAATAATACTTTAAACGATCCATATTTATATAAAATTTTTCTCTTTTAATAAGAGAAAAATAAACAAGATATATAGAATACAGGTCGTTAAAAATTTGTATATTGAATTAATTTTTTTAATATTTTTATAAATTTATAAATAGAACATTGATTATTCGTTTGTATAACAAACTGAAGTTTAATTATACAATTTACCACAAAATAAACAATTTAAAACAAGTAAAAAGATTTTGAAATAAATAATTTTAATAAAAAATTAATAATTAATTATTTTTCTAATAAATTTTATTTTTATATTGATCTTATTTTTTAAATTTACTTTGAAAAATTTATTTTAAAACTATAAAGTATATAAATTTAAAATGACAGTAATGACGGTAAAGTTTCTATAATTAAATCTTTTACCCTAGATATTTGTAATGTAATAAACGACAAAAATTTTTCTAAAAGT